GGCAAAACGGGCCGCACGGGCGGCGCTCCTTTTCAGAGGGAGAACGGGAGTTGGGACCGGAGTGCACATTTGCCCCGAAGATTAACGGGAGCCGCACCTCTGCAGACGGCGTGTCGGGGCTTCCACTGGATGTACGCATGCATCTATGGCAGGAGAGAAAGAAGCAAAGACTGATGTTGATTAGAAGGGAGGCGGAGAAAATGGAGGAGGAAGAAGCTGTTGCTGCCATGCCCATTGCATTCCGGCATGGGACTCAGTCTTTGATGGAGAGGAGCAGCACATGCAGGCCAATGTCGGTATTGAATGGTTCCACCACCCTCGCTCAGGAGTCACACTCAGCAAAAGGTGGAATCAAAGCGCCAACTTCGGTGGGGTCCATGGCAGATGAAGAAACCATTTTAAAGGCGCTTCAGGCACTCGAGAATGCGGAGCGCGTGTCTCAGTACATCATGAGAGACTAGACTGCTAGAATGGAAAGAAGGCACATCACAGAAGGCAAGAAGAGAAGGAGGAAGCATGCGTTTTATATTTTATCGCAGTGATTCCGTTTATTTATTTTTTGACTGAGTTGTTTTGTTTGCGTTTCCATTTTCAATTTCTCTTGTTGTGAGTGGATGATGAGGCAACTGCTTCTTTATTGTACCATTGCGGCACCACAGTATCGGGAAGGACTCGTGCATGGAGGGGAAGGGGCAACCTACCTCTAGTCGCTCAAGAGGTGAAGAAGAAAAAAAAAAAAAAGGGAAAAGGACGTGGGCGGTGACCCGTTGGCTGGTTGGAGATGTCGACAACTTTTCTTGCGTCTTTTTTTTATTTTTTTTTGTTTGCCGTGGCGGGGAAGAAAGGAACAAAAAAGAAGGGGAGGTGGATGCCACCGAAGGGGCGAAGGAAGAAGAATGCCCCGCCGCCGCTTGTGGCACCGGAGCCGGCCGGCGATGAGTTGGAGGTTGACATTTTGTGGGATTGCGTGAAGGAGGTGGACGACAAACCCTCTTTTATGGACGGCACGCTGCTGGAAGCGACCCGCGCCTGCTTCGAGGGCGAGAAGGGCCAAAAGGGCACGGGCGAGGCCGCGAGGACCGCCTTCTTTGGGCGGACACGACACCTGCTTGCCCCGCGCGCCTGTCCCCAGTTTCTGGCGTCGGAGAAGGAGTTGCGGAAAACGATGGAGAAAGCCAAAAACATTCAGGAGGATGTCAGTGAATTCGAGTTGCTGAAGGAGAACGAGCGGGAGGAGGCTCAGCGCAAGAGGGAGAGAGTCACCATGACGGCACGGAATCTCATGACGGAATTATCGGATGCCAGGCTTACTTTCTTGGAGGACATGGAGGAGATAGCGGAGGGCTTCTTTTCGGATCAGAAGCAAATGCTGGAAACACTATGTAACCTTGCGGTGAAGGATAATGAGGTGGAGGCGGCTTTTCTGGAGCAGCAGACGATGCAGCAGCTTTATCGTGACGTAGAGGAGAAGTACTTCAGGGATCACGGAGAGCATGTGGTCCTCATTGCCGAAATGCAGTCTGAGACGAGTCAACAGCAGGAAGAAATGCTTCAGTTGATGCTTCACCGCCTCGACAAGGGAGTTGTTGAAATGACAAAGTTGTCCGTAGAGGAGCTGGAGGATAAGGCATCCGCGCAGGAGGAGATGTCACGGCTTATTGTGGAGCTTCTGAGGGTCCAAGGGCAGTCTGTCGTTCTGGAGAAAGAGACGACGTCTATCGCCGAGGAAATGGCCGTCATGCAGCGTATGATTGCGTTGGAGTTACAGAAGCAACAGTTTTGCCTTAGGCGCCAGAAGCAACTCAGGGAGGATCTCCAGTCCTTGTCCGCCAGGGTCCGGGAGAACGAAATGCGGCTCATCGCAATGATGAGCAACCAAACCCCGAGCGCTGCCTACACCGCCACACTGCCACTGGTGCCAGTGTCTCCCAACACCATTACGAGCCTGACCGAGACCGAGGGGAAGAAGAGCGTTGCGCTTCTGAGCATCGAATTGCAACGCCATTTAGAAGCTAGCAGTGCGGAGCTTGCAAACTACAAGGATGAACTTTGTGCACTGCGGCGCCAACATCTTGTGCAACTGAGTGGACAATACCAATCCTTTAATTTGAACAATTCCTTTTTTGGTACCACGAAGGAATTTTTTTTGGATGCGGACACGAAGGCCGCTGTTCGCTCCATCGTTGTGGAGGCACTGATGCAGGTAAATCACATTCTTGGTGTGATCGATGACACGGCAAAGGTTCCTGGTAACTTGGAGCGTTTGTTGTCTGTGGTTGATTTGAGGGATCAAAAGTTTATTCAAAATTACGTGGCAAATCGCATCAACACGTTATTTAGCCGCATCTGCCCGACAGCCCCTCCGCTTCTTTTTCTCCGCGAGGCGGCAAATGTACAGTCGGAAATATGATTTTCTCCGTTTCTTATGTGAAGTAATATACATGGATACATGTACGCAATACATTTGCGAGTTACCCCCTCTTTCCCTTCCGTTGCTCACATGATTGACGCCGGTGGATACGACATGTTTATTTATTTATTTATTTGTTTTTTCTTTTGGTAGAGAAGAAAAAAACAAAAAAACAAAACAAAGTGAAACAAGAGGAATAGCGAAGTGAACTTAGCACACATACACACATACACATAAACACACATATACACACATCAGAAATACAAAAAAAGATGCCTCTTGAAAGAGAAAGTAGGGATGAAAATGGGGTGGAGATGCAAGGGTATAGGGGTGGCGGGACAGTGGCGGATTACGCATTAATTACGCCTGACATGGAGGATATGGGAGGCGGGGTGATAAATGATGGGAACGATAAGAACGAAGTTCTTTTGGAAGGCGTTGAACCACGTAAACGAAAGTTTCCATATTGTGATTTAATATCTCATGGAGGCATGCTCTCCGGCGCGTACAATCTTGCTTCGGTCACGCTTGGCTCTGGCATTATTACCCTCCCCTCCGCTTTTAACAGCACGGGGATTGTGCTCTCGGTTGTTGTGCTTCTTGTCATTTCTCTGGCGACGGTGTTCTCAACCTACTTGTTGGCATTGGCAGTCGACAAGACCGGGTATCGTGGCTACGAGAAGCTGGCACGCGGATTACTCGGTCGTGGGTGGGACTACTGGGCAGCCTTTAATATGTGGATGTTCTGCTTTGGCTCATGCGTCTCATATGTTATCTCCGTGGGAGACATGCTGCGTCCCATCCTGGATGATTCCTCCGTGAATCCATTTCTGCAAACCGTCTGGGGAAATCGCTGCCTGGTGATAGTGATATGGTCCTGCGTGATGCTGCCACTTTCGATTCCCAAAGAAATTAATTCCCTGCGTTACGCCTCGGTCGTTGGGGTCTCTTTTATCATGTACTTTGTTGTCGCCATTGTGGTGCACGCCGTGCGAGGCTTTGAGCATGGAAAGCCACGCCATGATCTGAAACTGTTTCGATCCGGCAACGGCGCCATTATTGGATTTTCACTTTTTATATTTGCATTCCTGTGCCAAACAAATTGCCTTGAAGTGTACGCTGAAATGCGGAAGCCAACACCCCGGCGCATGACACGGGACACCACGCTCAGTATGGTTATTTGTTGCTTTCTTTACATTATTTCGGGTTTTTTTGGATATGCAGACTTTGGTGATGCCATCACGGACTCCGTTCTGCTTTACTACAACGTCCGTGACGACCCCATGATTGCCGTTGCTTACGCTGGTCTCGCCTTTAAGCTTTGCGTCGGATTTGCCATATGTATGCAGCCTTCTCGAGACTCTATGTACTATTGCATTGGGTGGAATGTCACCACCATGCCTTTTTGGAAGAATGCCCTGTTCTGCACTGCGTTGGCCATCGTTGCTCTCGTACTGGGTTTGTTTATTCCAAGTATCACGATTGTCTTTGGCCTCGTGGGGAGTCTCTGCGGTGGGTTTTTGGGCTTTATATTTCCCTCTCTGTTTTACATGTACACTGGGAACTGGAACCTGAGGACCGTTGGCTTTTTCCACTACTTCTGCACGTATTTGCTGCTTATTTCCGGTGTTGTGGCGGTTGTTTTTGGCACAACGGCTGCCGTGTTCGGCGAGGTGAAAAAAAACTGAGCCCCTCTCTTCCGCAGAGCCTACTGGAATGTGACACAAATAATTTGAGATATATATTGGGCGAGTTTTGCCACCGCCGTCTCTGCTGGCGGGTGAATCAAGACAATGATGTGAACAGGTGCATTATTTTGTTTGTTTGTTTGGGTTATTATTATTATTTTTTAGATGTATATATTGGTTCCACGAGACGAACAGCAACAGCAACAACGACAAAGAAATTGATGGCCTTCTTTTTTTCTTTTTTTTTTTTTTTTCCTCTTTTCTTCTTTTGGCTGTTGGACCGGAGGAGACAGACAGAGAGAGAGAGAGAGAGAGAGAGAGAGAGTGTGTGTGTGTGTGTGTGTGTGTGTTTGCAGCTTCATGAAGAAAAATAGTTTCGTTTGATTATTATTTATTTATTTATTTATTTTATTTTATTTTATTTTTTAAATGTTTCTGCCGGCTCGTTTTATCAAATTTTTTTTTTTTTAATTTAATTAAATTAATTATTATTATTATTATTATTATTGGCGGAGTTGATTTGTTTGTGGGAATTGAGAAGCAGCAGAAAAAAAAAAAAAAAAAAAAAGAAAACTTCAAGTGATAGTTTTATTTATTTATTTTTATTTTTATTGAGGGTGGAGTGGAGTCGGGGTTTAAATTCTGCGATCGTCAAGACAAAAATGATACATGCATGCGTCTTTCATTCTGCTGGGGAGGTGAACCGAAAAGAAAAGGGAAAAAAAGAAAACGAAAAAAAACGAGGGAAAACTGCGAGTGACTCATGCCTCTGAGGCTGGCACGTGTGGGTTAGAAGACACCACCACGGCCGCTTCGTACCCAATTTTACAAACTTGTGGGGAGGCTGTGGGGCTCGCTGGGGCCAAGTGGATGGTGACATGTCTCTTGATGAACTCTTTTCTTTACTTCTTCACTAGTAGAGTTGTATTCTCGAATGTGCCGCGCTGGGAGGCAGCGAGCGCAGCATTTTTTTGGCGAGTGGAGAGGATTGTAGAAGCCAGCGCCGCCCGAGTTCACCTCCCAAGCGCGAGGTGGCAACTCCCTGGTGTCCAAGCGTCGCCTTTTCCCGTGGGAAACTCCTAGCATCCCAGTTTTTGCAACGGCGGCGGGGACGATGGTGGTGGCCGTGAGCCCCCCGAATACATGCGTTCCTCCACTTGCCCAGGGCTCCGCCAACGACGTGCCGAGCCGGGAATTCTCGGGGGATGGGGGGAAGCCCCGGGTTCCTCATTCACGACGCGGCTAAATGGGTCTCTCGTTCCCAGAGTGGGGCTTGCAGGCTCCGGAGCTGCTGCTGCGCAGGAGCCCGGCGACTGGGGATAGGAATCCACACATGTTCAGGAGGCGCTCGCGAGCCCCATGGGATGGGTCGGGATGGGCGGTGATCGTGGTGCGCCGTCGTCGGTGGTGTTGAATTTCAGCGACGCCCTGCGCACGATGACTTTTGGGCGGCGCGCCCTAGCATTTTCATGATGGGGCCGCGTTCATGTTTGCACAGGACCATGTACGAGACAGGCGCGTTGGAAAATTCTACCCAGCCGCTGACCGTGAAGGAGCAGCGAGCACGATCTTCTCGTGGCCGGCTGTATGGGTTATTTGGGCAATAAGCATATTGGGGCTTCTTGGCGGTAGTGGATGCTCACGGGGCATCCCCCTGATTGGATTTGCGCGCAGCTTTTTTTGACTGAGCGCACCCAGTGGACAAGACGATTTTTCTATTTGCCGCGTCGCGGTCACCCGCATGGAGGCACCGGTGTGGGAAAAGTTTTTTGAGCGTGCCCGGGTTTGCCGAGCCACCATTGGCGGCTGCGAGTCAGGGGGCTACAACACATACTTTTCTTGGCGTGTCCTTTGGTCATTCTTCGCGATCGGGGGTGCTGAGTGTGGTGCCTGCTTTGTATTTGCGCCACACGTCTCTTCTGTGCGGGGCCAGAAGGTTCATCTTGCCTCGTTGGCGTTTGCGGAGCGTTTGCCGCAAAGCATGGATGTGTGTGGACAATGTCTCGTTGCAGGGCGCCGCCTTGTGAAGGGGCGGTGCGGAAGTGCGCGCCTCTGCACGCGGGAGTGCGATTCGGCACCGGTTTTTTTTTTTGGCATTTACTTGTTCTTTTCACACGCGCGGTCGCCCATCACGTGGCAACGTCTTTGCTTCCAATGATGGCCTGAGGAGGGAGAACGGAGACGCCGCCGCGTTTTTCGCGGGACACGAAAGGCAGCCACGGCGTGGGCTCACAAAGAGCCCGGCTGGTGTAGATTGGGGCCTGAACCATTGTGTCCGCTGGTGTTTTGGCGTTGAACGGTTCTCATTCTTGCTGGGATGCTGGGCACACTGAGCCCAACTGTGATATTCTGTTCTCTTTTCTCCTTGTAGGAAGAAGTGGCAAGGCCTCCGCGAGGGTTATTGCCTAAGTGGATGTGTGTTTTGTCAAAGGATATCTTTGCTTCACTTTTATGAACGATGTCTGTGCATTTTTGTGGTCAATTTTGTTTGTTTGTTTGCTTGCTGTAATTGTGTGTGTGCGTGTGTGCGAGTCTTCATTCCTTCTCTTGCTTGCTGAGGATGGAGCGCAAAACTTTAAAATGTGACGATTCGGACATGCGGTGCGGCACCCAGTTACGGGGAGGTCGTCTGACATGTTTGAGCCTCAGTGATTGTATGGGCGTGAAAAGAGATGGGTCCGTTTTCCCCTAACCCTCAGTGACAAATGCGTGCGCTCCGTTGCACGAGAAAATGTCATGGTTGGCCCTTACAGCATGACGGCACACAATTTCTGTTTTCAGTGGCGTGTGCGGTCTCTTTTCTGTCTCTTCCGATTGTATACTCTTTTTGCTTGTTGTAGAACTTTAAGGTAAAAAGCAATGGTACAATTGGTGGACGATTTGTTCCGCATGCGGATGCTGATGGCCGGCGTATATCTTGGGCTTGGCATTTCTTCCACGTACGGTTTCAGCATATTTACGGATCATCTGAGGCACAAGTACGGGTATTCGCAAAGCGACATCACGACAATCAGCACGGTCGGGAATTGTGTTGGCTACTGCAGCTTTCTTGCTGGAATGCTGTTTGACTACGCGGGTCCCATGGTTGTGCTTCCACTTGGCGGACTTCTTGGATGTCTGGGCTTTGTTTTGTTTGGTCTCACATTTGATGGTTACGTTGTGTCGAATCCCAGCGTGATCCACTTCTCAATCTTTAATGCCATCTTGTATCTTGGCTGCCCGTCGATGGATGTTTCTTCTGTCATGCCGCTGATGCTGCAGTTTCCCCTGGAGCGCGGCTATGTTGTTCTGATCATGAAGACGTTTAATGGGCTTGGGACCGCTGTGCTGATGGCGTATTTCAACGGCTGGTTCAAGGCGGCGAACTCTGATCAACCTGAGGACAACAACTACTCCGGCTACGCGTACTTTGTTGGGGGTCAGATTCTGCTGTGCTCTCTCATCGGCACGTACTTCACGCGGTTGCCGATGTACTTTCCGTGCTCGTGGAGGAAGAAGCGTCTGAGCAGCGAGGAGGCGGCGGAGCGCGAAAAAACGCTTGACCTGTACATGAGCCAGCAGGCCCCCATGCGGCGTCTGCGGATCGGCGTTATGCTTGTCGTCGCCATGCTGATCTTTTCTACTACCCAGTCGATTGCCACGGCGTACGTGGACACGTCTCATGTGGGCTACTTGGCGATCTCGATTGTGGCGGTGCTGTTGATGGCATCGTTCTCCGTGATTGCGATGCCGTTCCAGTTTTTGGGCCGCTACACGCCCGTGTGTCCCACGCATATGGAGGGCATCGGGAAGGCGACCACGGGGCTGGAGCATGAGCGGACAGGCGAAACCATATGTGAAGGTGCTGTGGCTGACGGCAACGACCTAAGAGCGAATGTGGTGGCCGTACCAGCGCCGCAGTACAGTGGTTCCTTCTGGTCCCACCTGCTCACCGTTGACTTGTGGGCGGTGTGGCTCGCTTGTTTCGGCATGTGGGGCACTGGCACCGTGATGCAGATGAACGCTGCTCAGATCTATCGCAGCAAGAACAACGGCAAGTTTGACACCCGAACGCTGACGCTGTACGTCGCCATCATGTCTGTGGGCAGTGCTGCTGGACGCATGGCCATGGGGTATCTCGATATGAAGTTGTCCGCGTTACAGCGTGCAGGCAAGACAAGGACACTGACGACCATTGCGCTTCCCATTGGTCCCCTGTTGTTGGTGGCGGCTTACCTCTTCTTTGCCGTGCTACCGGGGAGTGTGCTGCTGCTGCCGTTTTTGCTTGGAGCCATGGGCAACGGAGTTGGCTGGGGTGTGGGCGTGATTGCTTTACGGATGATGTACTCTGAGGATATTGGTAAGCATTATAACTTTTGTTTCACGTCCGGTGCCGTCGCGACAATTGCACTGAACCGCTTCATGTTCGGAGAGATGTACGATGCGGAGGCGCGCAGGCGCGGTGAGTTCCCCTCATGCAACCGCCCCAGGTGTGTGCGAAACCAGATGTTTATTTTGCTGGTTGTGAACGTGGTCGCCACACTCGCCGCCGCTCTTGTACACTGGCGGTTTTCGCGCTTCACTCGGGCAAGGCTGGATGAGCGGGAAACACCGGACTCTCTCCAAGACGGGAAGGATATGATCGGAATGGGGTCTTCCGAGCCGATTGCTGAGGAGGATCATCTGCAGTCATAGTGGCGATTCTGGCCGCTGTCCGTGAACGGTGCCGCCCGCTCTCCCCTCATTGTATTTAATTATATATATAAGCTTTTTAAAAATGCCAATTGGTACCTGTGTGTGTGCGTGCGCTGGTGTGTATGGGCTTCGGTGGTCAGGGATTTTTGCCCCTTACCACCGCTGCCACTGCCATCAGTGTGACGTCCGCGCCGTACCGCCGGTGGAGACGCTTTGCAATGAAAATAGTGAGATTAGGAAAGAAAACTGATGTGAATGAAATATTATAATAAATAACTAGGCCCTGCATCTGTTGGTCGTCGCTATAAAGGCGGGTACTCTGTCTGCTGAATACTGCATTGAAGGCAGCGGCTGTAAGCAAAGCGATGGCACACGAGGCCGTTGCGAGCATATATTTGCCCACTCACTCGCCGTTGCATTCCACTTTTGGTTCGGTGCGCAGTGAGGAGAGTGTTAACGTTTTTGGGTATTTGTTTGTTTTGAAATTCTGTTTTTTCTTAACTCGAACTCTTTGGCGGTCGATGTGGGGAGGGCAGCGCATTTCGTTGCACGAGGCTTGTGGAATGAGTGCGGGCCCAGATGGTGCCAAATAAATGGGTGGGAGACTCATATATAAACCTTCTTTTTTTTTAAAATCTATTGATTGAATTTTTTTTCGAGGGCAGGGCGGCGGGTGTTTGTTGTTTTTGAAGGATGGAGTCCCTTCCCTGCACATTCGGCGAGCAGGCAGGCCCTGGCTGAAGGTTTCTGGAGCAATTCGGCCGACATGGTTCCATCCGAGTGATCATCTTCAGGCAATTATCCGGCGGTTGCGTGACCCAACGTGAGCCCTCGGCTTTGATTGCCGTGGCCGGTCTCATCCCATCGGACCGTGCTGGCTGGACGTCTTGGTGGGATCTTGCGGTGTGCGGAAACGCGGCGGGCATGCACACTCCGGGCTGGCCACAGTTTTTGGCGAGTCATCTCTCACCACGCATGAACGCGGCGAGGGCAATTGGACGGATGCAGGGCATGCTAACCACCAAAAACTTGAATTTTTGGCACGACTATGCCCAGGCCATCGGGGATCAACAGCATCTTTGCGCTCTCTTCAGTGCGCAGCTAGTGGCCTAGGAAAAGAGGGACTCCGTGTGACCCTCGCGGAGGGCCCTTCCGCGAGAAGTGCAGGAATTTTGGGAAAAGGAGACGCGGCCGTCCACGAGGGAGAGGCTTGGAGAAGCCAGCGCTGCCCGAGTTCACCTTCAAACCGCGTGGTGGCAACTCCCTGGTGTCCAAGCGTCGCCTTTTCCCGTGGGAAACTCCTAGCATCCCAGTTTTTGCAACGGCGGCGAGGACGATGGTGACTGTGTCTGCATGAAGTGGTGTGCGCCGAATATGAACTAAGGCCCAATGCAACTGAACTGTTTTTGTGTTGAATATTGGCTGCACTTCCCGTGGACCAACAATTCTCGTGGTGTGCGGGGATATCTTTCCCTTTATTGTTACTTTGGCCTTTTGGGCTGCTGTGTGCGCTGCATCTATTCTCGTGTGTGTGTGTGCGTACTCTCCGTGAGGGGTGCAGACACGACGGACCGCTCTCGCCGTGTGTGCATGCGGTGGAGCCTTGTGTGCCGCTCCTGTTTGCTTCTCCCTCTTCCATCTGTGTGTGTGTGCCTGCTGCCGTGGATTGGAGTGTGTGTCGTGCGTGGTGTGCGGCGTACGGTGCATGCCTGGCTGCTGCCCTCTCCTCATGTGGTGTGCCCTCTGTGTGTGTGTCTGCCGCACCTCTCGTCTCCCCTGTTGCTCTCCATGTCTCTCACTGTGCAGATAAGCTCCACACCACTGAATGACCACACTCACGATGATGACGTGCCGTCTGCTGTACGCCCTGCTGATGCTCGCCCTGTGCTGTTGCCCGTCCGTGTGCGTGAAAGCAAGTGTTCAGAAGCAGGAAACTACCACTACGACTACCACAACGAAGCCACCAACTACGACGACCACGACCACAACGAAGCCACCAACTACGACTACAACGACCACTACCACAACAAAGCCACCAACTACGACTACAACGACCACTACCACAACCACCACGACCACTGCGCCG